AAGAACACTGGCCGGTGCATTCATATTTGATTATTATCATTATTTATTTACCTCCTAGTTGTTTGGTTTGGCTCTAACCTGAGGATAAATGACCCCAGAAGACTCAATGAGCTAATTAAGCTTCTCTGTCCCGACGCTGCAGCAGCAGCAGAGAGGATGGTGTTGTCAGAACTCCTCAGCGTCTGCACAGCGTCACCGCTGACCAGAGAAGCACATTCAGCAAGACTGAGAACGACACAACGCTTCACCGAACATCACAGAGTGTCCTTCCTGCCTTCCTTCCTTCCTTCCTTCCTTCCTTCCACCATTCAGCTGTGTGACACATCTATCTGTAGAATTTAGTTTTTTTACTCTGATTCTTAATTTCCATTTTCTTTGTGACAGGAACAAAATAATTTTCCTTTTGCAGATAATTAAAGTTCTTATTAGAACTTTTCAGTGGCTCCTCTTTTCATCTTTGTCCATTTTCTGTCTAAGCCAAGAGCTTTATTGAATTCTCTATTTAGCTTAAGAAATAGAGGAATTGTCACATGAAGGAGCATTTAATCATTCCAAATCCCCACGTTTGCTGATTTGTGAGATGTTGAGGCACTGCTCCTGCAAAGCTCCGTTTCTGCAGCACAGCTCCATTGTAACGGCAAGTTCAGCAAAACCCGCTGCTGCTGATGGCTGTAGTCGGATTTAGTCCTGACACATGCTGATGAGTGGTGATGGGCAGAAGTGGATCCAGTCGGTCCCACTGACCATTTATTGTTCGTTGAATCCCAAGTCAAAATAAAACAACAAAGCTTTAAATGAAAGAGTCTTTAATAAGGCCTCGTTCCTCGTTGATGCAGCCGCATGGTCAGAAAACTGTTTGCCTTCCTCAGCCACACCCAGATGCTGTGGCAGCTGGTTCTGAAGCCTTCTCCTGTGGGCTCCACCCTCAGCTTCCTCAGTTACACACCAACAGCAAGAAACAACACAAACACACAGCTCAGTTTGGCTCCTACATCCATTATCTGATCAATGGACCTGACCATATTGTTTCTGTTCAGTGCAAATCATGTGAATCTATATGTGGTGATTTTTAAGTGCATAAATAAATGATGACGCGCTAAAACCAACGCATTGTGTTCCACGTTTTCATTGGACAGTGATGGTTCTGGAGAGCGTGGCGAGAGTTCAGACCTCCTCTAAATAAATAATCTATTTTTTTTTCTCATCACTACAATAAAGCACACTTTACACTTTGCCAGGACGCCCAGCAGCTCCAGCTTAGTTCTGATGCCGAAAGAAGCACATATGATGATGACACAAGCATTAAAATAATAAAACAAAATGCACACCTGAGCAGGTTTAGGATTCAAGTACAGAAAAGAAAGCCTCAGCATGAAAAGGTGTCATGATGTGTGATTTTACTCTTACATCCAGAAAGTAAAAAGAACAAATGTTGAGGAGAATTCAGCCTCGAATCGCTTCAGACAACAAAAAGATTAATGATAACAGCAGATTATATTACTCAGGTTGCAGCCCAGTGGATAAGCTGATCCATAACGCTGTCCGCAGGGATGCTGGAGAGGGATTTGGTCTGTTTCTGATTTGTGAGAGTCCATTTGAGCGCGAGTCATTATCTGAGTTTTGACTCCTTCATCACATCCCTGAAAGCATTCATCATGTTCCATCGTGGAGTGAAAAGGAACTGTGAGAGGGGATAGAAAGGACATTTACTTCTAAGTATTTACTCTTTCATTGAATCTGGATGCACACGTAACACAGCAGCTCTGTGTTTTAATAATTAGACTGACTTTTTAGACAGTAAAACTTCACGGTCATGTCAGTTTATAGGAGCTGCATGTGGATTTTTTTACTCGATATTTTTAGCAGGACAGCACAAAATCCATGTGTTTGTCTGTTTGTTTTATGAAAACGTGACCTGTGGCGTGTCAGCAGTGTCCTGACAGCGTAACTCTGTCCTGTAACCGACACTTGACCGTGTGACGTGATCCTGCGTTGAAATCTTGCCCTGATTTCTTGTCACAGTTTAAAGCTCTTAATCAAAGTCTCCCAGGCCGACATCATGTCAACCTTCTGATCCCGGCTGATGTCACAGCGTCTCATCTGTGTTTGCTTTCCTGTCTTCTGTCACTGATTCTAAGCAGCGCGTGGATTAATGCTGCTGAAGATGCTGCATACAGTCTGTTGTTTGTGATGAAGGTGGTCATGCTCCTTAAAACTTTGCATATTTTCCAAATTATACAAATTGTGGTTGTAGTTTTTCTAGAAGGTATTGTTTATTGGTTGTATAGAGAGATGGATGAACCCTCTATGGTGTCAGTTTTCAGGCTCAGTGTGGCGTTCGGGCTCATCAGTACCTGACTCCTCCGAACTTCCAGCTAATCCAAAAATGAGCAACGAGGTGGAGCCGAGGCAGAACATGCAAACTTCTTTGAGCCATTGACTGTCCTATAAGCATCCACACTTGTAATAATGCATCATTTTAAGCCTTAATAGAGTTTAATTAAGTGTATGTCACCCCTGTGTAGTTGTCATGATGGGAACATTAGCTATAGAGACCAGAACATGTGTGCACCAGGCTGTAAACATGTTTATTGTTGCTGTAAAGACGGCCATTTTAACACGGAGGTCTGTAGGGATTAACCCGCTTTCGGAAACAGCCTCAAGTTTCCATTTGGGGAACTGCAGGTGCTTCCACATTCATTTTTCAGCCCCAGAGATTACATCTTGCTCTGCATTCAACAATTATGAATGCTGAAACCAAGAAATAAAACAACACCTTCCTCCAACCTCCTCAATCCACCCCAGACTCTCAGAAAAAGACACACAAATGCAAAAAAAATCCATAAAATGAACCAAAACAAGCAGCAAAATGCAAAAAGAAGGATTTGCAAAGTCAAAGAATGGATGCAGCGTGAATCCGACGGGGTCCAGAGAGGTGACAGTGTTTACATATGAGATAATGCATAGCCATGTTTTTTGGGTTTTTTTTAAGTTATTTTTTTGGCCTTTGTGCCTTTATTTTGAGAGTGAAGTAAGAGAGAGAGACAGGAAAGTAGGGGAGAAGAATGGGGGGAGGACATGTGGGAAAGGGTCATGAGCGGGATTCGAACTCATGACCTCCACATTGGGACTGTAGATCTGCACATTGGATGCCAGCTCAACCAGGTGAGCTATAGCGGCGCCCCAATGCATAGTCATGTTTGGAGAAAACCTCTTGAAGAATAATCCACCTTTTCCAGTGACAGAAGAGACATTAAATCAATCGACAAGGCTGTTGTGGATTTATGTTTTTCCACCATGTTTAGAGGCAACCACATCAGAATCTTTCTTAGTGAGACTGAGTGGTATAAAGGAAACCCCAGTGGTGGCGGTAAGGGTTGTAGTGTAAACTTGAAGGATTGGTAAATTATATTGTTGTGTGTCATATCTCACGCAGATGGGCTGAAACCAAATCCTTCTCCTTCTGTGCTAGCTTATCGTCATCTCCTTCCCAGGGAATCCGTCTCTCCTCTCTCCAAACTGTCCAAATCACCTTCCCAATATTTCCTTCACGTGTTACAGGACGGTGGCTTTAAGCTGCACATCTTGCTCCGACCGCCTGCTTTCCTCCTCCATCACCTGACTGCTGGACCTTGGCGCCCACAGCAGTGAGACCTGCAGGCAATTTCATCTGCACATCACTGTTTATGTGAGGGCGTCTGTGTGAAGTGACCTTGTTCCCACAAGATTGATAATCAGGTTTGTGAGCCGGGTGGCCGTCTGTCATGTTGACGTATGCGTCGCGGCCCTTTTTCACCTCCTTCAGTCACAATCTCACCAAGCGTCTGTCCACGGAGCTTTTTCACGGCAGACATTTGGACCCGTCGTGGAAGGGAAATGGCAGAAAGGATGAACAGCATTAATGAGCATCGTTTAGGCTGTTCTGGTTGGTCAGTAACATAAAGACCACAGCCATTGGTGCTACCATCAGTCACACCTGTGGGGAAAGTCTCCTGCACAAAAGGAAAAGCACAGTAGCACCGATGGCTGCGATCCCTTGAGGTGAGGTTCTGCTTTGGTGACTCACTGGGACACTTAATGGAGCCGAGGCATCATTAGGTCGACTTGTCTCTGTCTCCACACCGTGACAAATCAAAATGTCTGCCCCGAAAAAGCTCTCTTATGCTCCATTGCCTTCAGTGAGTTCACGCTGTCAGTGAATCACAGGGCAGGTCTCGGTGCCACTCTTTGCCAGGTTTCCTTTGCTGCAGTGATGTAGTCCTTCCTCCTGCAGTGCCCGCTCACTTGTTTGTGCTGATTCTCCTGCAGTAATTGGCTGATTCTGTCCGTATCTACCTGATGCCAGATAACCCCACTGGTAAAACACATGCTGCTCTGAACTCCCCGTATTGATCCTTCACACGCTGCTGCAGGCGCATCACGTGCTGAGCTAAAGGCTGCAGCAGCTGCAGAGTAAGTGTTTGCCCTGTCCTTCACCGGAGTAATGAGATGATCTGGGAGGAAAGGCTCCATCGTTAAACACATCACAGCGCTGATTGAGCCATCGCAGGTGAAGTTCTCTTAAAGGACAAGAAAAACAGAGCCAGCCCTGAGGACAAAGGGGACACTGAGGCTGAACCAAATCCTCACGTTCATTTCAATGCATTTGCCAGATGTTGCTGCAAGAGAGGAAGATTTAAAACATCTTCATTTGAACATCTGAAAATCATTCCTACTGCATTTTGGTTTGCTCAATCCCACACAGACATGCATTTATATTTTAAATAAAGGTTTATCCTCTGAGTGTTTTAAATGCATTTGAGCTTCATGCACCTGTCAGAGTGAAGTTCAACACCCCACCTCTGAGGCTGAACATGCTTTGTCTTCCCTCTGGTGTCCTTTCAAACTGTATGTAAATGAGGGAGAGAAAGAGAGAGAGAGGGGGGAGGAAATGTGACACACCCCCTCCTCTGCTGTTTGCGCCCCTCAGATCAGCTGTCAGACGGCTGCGTTTCCTCACCGGTGAGGACCGCAGGCTGCTTTTCTTTTGCTTTTCTTTGCGGTCATTTCTGTGGAGCACGTCCGCCTGTGCGCCCTCTGATCTCCGCTGAGGAGGAGGAGGAGGATGTCCTGCAGCGGATCTTCTGCGGGACTGGGCTGATAAAGACTCCCTCTGCTCGCTTCGGATCTCTGGACACCGACAAAAAGGTAAAACAGCAGCAGCAGCAGCAGCAGCAGCATCGGGCGGGACACTTGTGCCTGCTGAGACTAATGTGTCTGAGTCAGAGAGGAGGTTTATTCATGGGATGAAGGTCCAGGGAAGCAATGACACAAGCAACATGTTAGGAGTGTTTGAGGCTATACATGCAGTGCTGTTGTTCTTATATCAATCCCCAGATTAATCCCTGCTGATTGGGTTTGATATGATGTATTATTGATGACATGCTCCATCCATAACTTTTTCACCGTCCAGCTGCTCCACTGCACCACGCCTGCCTGCATTAGAGCGTAAAGTGCTGGCAGCATTAATGTCATTACACTCTGCATCCTCATTATCATCTCATAATGGACTGACATCACGTCCAGCGTTTGGGTTTTCTGTGTAGCAGCAGCTGCCTTGTTGATCACAGTGTGCACATGTCCTTACAGCTCCATGACCCTGCCGTGAAGACCGAGTCAGCACATCCACAATCCTGCAGTTCTCAGTCCCGGCACGATGGGGGGCTCAGTCTGCGTTTCTCAGCCCGCCACTGCAGCAGCGTTCAGAAGCTTTATCACAGTTCTGCATCTGACTTTACTGCTGCTGGCGGTGAGAGTCGACGGCCAGCTAATGGGAAGCCCGCTGGACTGTCACAAGACCTGCGTGTGCGCCAGCAACATCGTCAGCTGTTCCAAGATGAATCTAACAAACGTCCCCCTCGCTCTGCCCAAATACACAGCCGTCCTGGACCTCAGCTTCAACGCCATCACCAAGCTCCGAGCTGAGTGGACCCCCGACCATCTCAGCAGACTGCACAGTCTGCTGCTCAGCAACAACGGCCTCACCTTCCTCTCCTCTGAGGCGTTCATCTACGTGACGAAGCTTCGTTACCTGGACCTTTCCTCTAACGGCCTCCGTCTGCTGGACGAGTTCATCTTTGAGCCGCTGGAGAATCTGGAAGTGCTGCTTCTGTACAACAATCACATCTCTCAGATAGATCGCACTGCCTTCTCTGGCCTGGACAAGCTGCAGAGGCTCTATCTGAGCCAGAACTTCATAACAAGGTTCCCCTTGGAGCTGGTGAAGGAGCGAAGCCGGCTGCAAACTCTTAAACTCCTTGATGTTTCCTCCAACCGAATTAAATCGCTGCCCCTGTATGAGCTGCAGCTTCTGCCCGCCTGGATCAAGAATGGTCTGTATTTCCACAACAACTCGCTGTCCTGCAGCTGTGACCTGTATGACCTGGTGGCACGCTGGCACCTCAAGGAGCTCAGCTCTGCCACTGACTTCAAGAGCAAACACACATGTGTGATACCAGGCCAGCGGAAGGAAAAAATGGCCATACTGGATCTGGATAAGGCCTATTTAAACTGCAGTGAGGTCAAAACTCTGGACGAAGTAGCATATCTGGAGCAGTACCTGGTGCTGGACTGTGACACCAGGCAGAGGGACATGGAGAAGAGATGGACACTGCCAGGAAACGTCACACTGTCTCCGGCAAACAAGACTGCTGTGTTGCGTTCTGACGGAAACCTGCAGATTGGTCCCCTGAAGGTGGAGGACTCAGGGGTCTACACCTGCTATGCTACAAGTGATTCCTTCAATGAGACGCTGTATATAACGGTGCTGGTCTATAACAGCACCGTGGCTGGTGGACTGGAGAACCTAAAGACGGCCTACACCACCCTGGTAGCATGTCTGGTCAGTGTCGTCATGGTTCTCATCTACCTCTACCTCACACCCTGTCGCTGCCCCTGCTGTCCGGGTCAGGGTCTGGAGAAAAGCGAGCCTGGACAGAGCCTCCACTCCTCAACTGTCAGCCTGTCTCAGGCGCACGAGGAGACGCCGCAAGAAAAAGCAGAAGGCGGAGGCTTCCCCTACAGACACGTGGCCTTCCTGGATCCCAAGGAGCAGATGGAGCAGAACGGGAGGCTGAATCCGATCGGTGAGGAAGATGAGGAGTGGCAGGGGGACAGCTCAGAGAGGAGGAGGTCTGATGCCGAGTCTGTCAGCTCCGTGTGCTCCGACACTCCCATGGTGGTGTGAAGGCCATCAGCAGAGCCTGCAGGGTGAGACGCTCATAGACACAACTTCTCTGTAGCTCTGGACGTGTGCAGGAAGCGTCCTCCACACAAAGCTTCAGCTGGTGGTTTGGTGGCAGCAGCATGTACTGTTAATACCAATAAACTGCAAGGTCTCGATAAAAGCCATTCTAAGCCCAAAAACAAACTTTCAATGCCTAAAAACTGCAGTTAGAATACTTTATGACTGACGGACGGTATTTCAATAAATGCTTTTATCTGATCCAGGATTGAAAAGCAAACGGTCACTCTTACATTCTTACATGAAATTGCAAAAAGTACGATTTATGAAGACAAAAATAACCATATATCTGTCAGGGGACATCACAGATTCATATTCAGAAACGACTTTGCTGTGCAGCAGGAGCTCGAAATATTGTTTGCATTTATGATGCAAGTCCCTAAAAATATTCTCACAGAGGAGAACCTCTAATTACCGAGAGCATGAAAACCTATTTGATGTTATCCTCAGTTTCCTTTGCTTATGAATATCCAGAGGCTGCATGTTAACACAGCGTTTTATGTGCCGGGATTGTGACGCTACGGAGATGCTGAAGTTTTAAAAACGACGGACAGAAGCGGCTGCTTAAAAGAGAAGCTGTTTTATTTTATGCAAAGCTTGCAGAGCTCACTTAATTATTCCTGCAAGATAGATCGTTCAATATTTATGCTATATGTTACATTCCTGTTTGGTTTGGTTGGCCTTCACAGAACATGATGCAGGGCTCATGCATTTCTTTCACATCTGGGCGTGGTTTCATGTGTTGATTGTGTTTACTGCTTCGACTAAACGTCACATTCAGGTCTTTTTAACGTCATTTCAGACTCAACACAACTTCATTAATGGCACGATGCTTTTATTATAATTTACTTTAGTCTGATTTAAAGCAGCTCTAATGTGATTTACATTCGTTAAAATTGTGTCGACGAGGAGTTAAAGATAAACCAAACAGTTGTTCATATTGATCACAGCGACACATTCTCACTGTACTTATTGTTTATTTACCTGTGAAAGCATAACTATGAGCTGCTACCCGGCACATGTAAGTTCAATTTAGACAGGTGTAAGAGTATTTCACCTAATCTACAATAATTCCCAGGAAATGCAGCATTAAATATTCAACAAAGATCCATTTTTAATGTTGTTGAGATTTAATTAATGAGAACAATTTGCGTCCAAAGATATAATTTTTGAACAAAATGTCCGATCCCCTCCTGGTTTCAGAATGTGTTCTTATTCTAACCACCTGATCAGTGTTTATGCATGAATGCAGTCTGTGTGTGTGTGTGTGTGTGTGTGTGTGTGTGTGTGTGTGTGTGTGTGTGTGTGTGGTGTCAGCAGAATCTGGTCCACCGGCTGAACGTATCACAGTTTCTGCTTCACAAAGTCAGCATTGCAATAAGCTAAAGCTCGTTTAAATCCTACAAAAAACATTCCACAAGACAATAAAGTCACTCAGCTGTCAGTGCAGCTGCTGCAGGATTTGCGTCCTGATGGCCTCCATCCTCTGAGACGCTGCTTCTCACTCGTTTCTCCTTTTTGACAATAGATAAATGCAGCCACCTCTTTGCAGAACAACTCACGGCTGAGCTGTGAGTAGTTTAATGAGACTGAAGAGTTTGGAGGAAAAAAAGTCATTCATAACACAAAATAACTAAAGATTGTAGAAGAAAATAAGAATCATTTTGCTGGGACTGATTTATTTTTCTTATTCTCTGCACCAGTGAACATCTCACGACCGTTTAGATTCATCGTACAACACTCTGTTTGGAAACCACTGCTCGAAAAGAATTAATAATGTTTAAATATACATACTATAATGTCACTTGTTTGATTTTCAGGGTTTAAATCACACTAACGTTACGACTCAGTAGTATGTTGGGTGTGAGTTACAGACGAGCAGCATAAATGCGCATCCCGCCACACTGGACGGCTAATAGCAGCCGGGAATGGTGGTCCAGAGGGGAAACCAGTGAGAGCGAGTCCCATCCACTGCATGCTTCTGGGCATTAGAGCCCAGCCCTGAGCAAATCAGCCAATGACAGCCAGCCAGCCAGAAGTCTCATAAACACAGTCAGAAATAGCAGCGAGCAGCGCAGCCAGCACACAGGCCTCCTGGCTGTCTGGCTCAGCTCAAATGTAAATATGGAGGGAGCAGTTTCTCAATCAGACGTCTTCATTTTCATTTCCAAAATACCTTCAAGTCAAGTCGAGGCTCATGTTTGAACTTGAATGGAATCACCACAAAAGTATGGTACATGTATGAGTATAAATCAGTGACGATCAAGAAATAGAGTGAGGTGTAAATGCAGTTTTTACTAAACTGAAGTCACTCTGGTTCTGTTGCTGATAAACGAGCGACACGATTTACTGTTGATGATGAAATATACTCACATAAATGTCTGACGTGTTCCTCCAACTGTTCAGGATCACAAGATGTAGCAATGTGAAGTCAATGCACTTTTTCTTTTTTAATCAGAAGAACAATAATATATTAATCTCTCACTTCTCATGGTGCTTTTTGGGGGATAATTTAGGTGAATTCACGCCTTAATTAAATGTGTTGTGAGAACATTGTGAGCGTCGTCTAGTAAAAATAATAACGGTGTTAGTATGTAGGAAGTAATTACGTCTTTCAAAGGGTGTCGGCTTTGTCATAACGTCTGTTTGTTTCCTCTGAAGTCACTTATAATAACCAAAGACTGAGTTCCGTGTTGAGCGTTCATAACCTACATGTTCAGTGTTTACAGCCTCGTTGTCACGCGTGTGTGCGTCCAGGTCACCTTCCTGTGTTTAGTCACAAACATATGTTTTAATATATGCAATCCTGTATAAGGACTTGATGTATTTTCATTTTTGCTGTATTATTGTGTTGTTCCTGTGTTTCCTAAACAGTATAAATAAACGTGAATAATGTCGGCTGTATCTGAATCTGTCAGACGGACTTGTGGTTACAGACGTTGGCTTCGCATAAAGACTGGAAACAGGGAAACATGCTTGGCTCTGGACAAAGATTAGAAACATCCAGCTGCTATTTAAAGCTCTCCAACACATTGTTCAGGAGTAAAAAGCAACATGCTGCTTTATGGAAGGTCATGTGTTGGGCTGTTTTGTGGCTGAGCTCACTTAAACATGGACGATATGAAAGGGCAGCACAGCCCTGACGAAGGAGGGAAATGCTTACAGGTAAGGAATTATTTATTAGAAAACCTTCATGACCGGCAGTGTAGGTGAGCACCTGCATGGAAAAATGACGCGTCCAGTGTTTATGATGCAAAACCACAAAGAAACCATCAACGAACCCAAATGTGAGTCTCAGGGAAGAGAGAACCAACAACTGAGCACCAGAGAAGGTTAAAGAAGGAAACGGGACCCAGGAGACCCTCTGCCTCCTCCAGGTTTTATTGGACAGAGAAAGGCCAGAGTCCTTTTCCTGCTTGATTCCCAACAATTAAATAAATGCAATGACCTTTTAAGTTGCAAGCATTCTTTTTGATGTGTTGATAGAATATTGTTTGTAATTGCATTAACTTCATTTTAAATTTATACCTAAATTTCTGCAGTCGTTGATTTAAAACTAAATTCAAGACGGTGTGTTTAACAAATATCATAAAAACAGGGCATTACAGGGTGAGTATCTTTTCTTTTACAAACGTATTCTGAATTTAGGAATATTTTAAATCATGAGATGACCAACAGCGAACTTGTGCACAGACTTTATTCTACACAATACAGTTTGTTCTGCTGCACATAGGAAATGATAAAATCCTAATTAGCAGTGAGGCTTTGACCTCCTGCCCGTCCCAGTTTAGCAAACCAGTGGATCAGAACGACAAAGCTTCAACCGACAGTTCTGCTCAGCTCAAGAGGACGTCGCATGCTGATTTACAAACGGTGAGAAAATTTGTGGTGTTTTTGATTTCAAGATTTAAACGTGTTAAAATACACAACTGTAGTTCAAAATAAAAAATAAATTAAGCAGTTTTGTTGTTGACTAAGTTTTAAAAGCTACACGAACAAAAACACAAAAAGAAAATCTGACTGAAAGAAGTTCATTTTTAAAAGTTAATCAAATAAAACTTGTGTCCATAAATATTCATGTGGACTAACTAGTTGGAACTAATCAACTAAAACTCTTGTGTTTATGCTACCAGTCATTAATAAAATAATAATATATCTGACTGTAGAGGAAAATCCTTTAACTACACACTGTTTTCTGGTTGAACATAATTTCATTGAATGTTGTCATAACTCAGAAAGATTGATGCAAACTGTTGAGTTAATCAGTTTGCTGTTGAGGCCAGACGTTGTTTCTTAAACCTACTGGCTGATGGTTGAAGCTTCATTTACAGCGTACAGCAGAGAGACGGCTAATCAGACAGAGAGAGGGAAAAGGGCAGCGACATGCAGCCGTGATCCCAGCCAGAAGCAGATCGAGCTCTGCTGAAGCTTCTTTTACACCAAGAGACGTATCGGCCCTCCTATCTGGAACCGTCTCAAAAAGACCGAAGACCGTATTAATTAAACTGTCAAACTTTAGTGGTGCAGTTATACAAGGATCACATCTGACGAGAGGATCAGGCTTCACTTCACCTCACAGTTAGTTAGCCTGGACCTCAGCCGGCTTCAGTTTCCAACACTAATGACTCGGTCTCGTTGACTTGAGAGTGAAACGTGAGACCACACAGATCGCCACGGCACAAACTGGGAGTCGTATTTACTGCACCTGTCCCTCAGACATACTTTCTTCTGGCAGCATTCGGTATTGCTGGATTTTCACCCTTATTTGGATCGTTGTCCCTCTGAGCAGAGCGAGCGCTCCGGCCTGTTTTCACTTCCCTCTGCTGGGCTGTCATGGTCCAAGACAGAGCAGAGCCGTAATGGCCTCTGACAGCCTGATGTTTGATGTCAGCTCTCAGTGTGTTATGAGCGACAACATACGTGTGCAGCAAATTTGTGCAGAATCAGTGTTTAGATTAGTTCATTTTTGGACAGACGTTGTGCACCTTGATGTGTGAAACCTCACCTGCTGCCCTGCTGGATGAATGATTGAAGAGGCCTGCAGGGATGTCCAGGCTTCCCGTCTGACCAGCTGCTTCCTCGTGTTACCATGTTTACCCACACTACACCTAACACCGACCAGGTGTGTGTGTGTGTGTGAGACGAGGTTTAACCAAAATGCAGCACAACAACGCAGCCTTAACACCATCTTATGACATGTTCCTAAATGAATGTGTACGGGAGGCACGAGGGGGTTAACGGCGGCTGATCCGTGTGTTGATGCACGTAAATGGGAAAGAGCTGAATGACTCATCCCCTTTGGACATTAAATCACAGATTATAATTAGAACAAATGCAGCTGCCTGAAGAAAAATCTCAGATCGCTGAACATCACAGACACAGATGGCACGAGCGTGAGCCGGAGCCTGTCGACGATGAATGACTGGCATGTTTGTCTGTGTTTTAAAAGACTGAATTCTAAGTAAGATGACTCATCCTGTTCTCGGGCTCCTCCCAGGAGCTTCACATGAATGGGGAAGGGACTGGAAGTGCAGCACAGTGAGTCCTCTGCCATCTAGTGGCCACTGCAAGCCTCACACGTATAAAACATTTGGATTCACTCTTTTTAACTTTATAAAATAGGATTGTACGGGTCTGACTGAAAACGCTTTATTAGTTTAACACACAAGCATGATTTTGTTTTTTAGTGTTAATCCAGAGAAGTTGTCTGACCCAGATCTTCACACTGCTTGAGCAAATCCCACCCTGCTGTTGGCCATGTCGAAGGCCGTGTAGAACTGCCTCATGAAGACCTCGCCCAGGATCCAGGGGCCGGGAGCAGCAAACCCAGTCACACACCCAGACCCAGACTGAGGACACAGGAGAGGCCTTCGTCACACTGATTTCATAAATTATAAATTTGCACCCTGATTGAACAAAGAAAAGGGTCCACGTGCCGCAGCTTTAGCAGCAGTCTAGAGTTATTTTACACATTTAAAGCAATTATTAATCATTTTTCTATTCACACTAAATGAGTAACAGAGCAGCCGCTAATTGCTTCAGTGTTCATTATTTCAAACCATTTTCAGTTCCCGGTTTCAGAAGAAAACTACTGCAGTGTGATAAACTGGTCGTGCAGTTTGAGGTTTTTCTGCTCCAGTCATCCTCAGATGCATTAATCTCCTTCCATTAAAGAAAAGGCAAAGTTCACAACAGTCACTCAAATAATTAGAAACTGAAAAAAGTAATAATAAATAAAAATTTGCTAAATTATAATTTAGTGAAATAAGACATTGCTTTTGAATTGTGGTTGGAAAGAATAATTTAAAAAAAAAAAAAAAACTGTCCCAGGCTAATTAGAGCACTTTGCTGATGAGCAGTGAAACCAGAACACCTGTCAACAGGTGCAGAAGTCTGACTGAGAGTTAAAGGAAACACCTGATGGCAGTGATTGGCTCAAAGGGTTGTTTAACTACATACTAGTTTATGGGTCCCATCATGCTTGTTTTATTTTATTATCAGTAGTATTTTTCTATTTCTGTTGAACCACAATTCAAAATCAATGTCATGATTTTTTATAAATTTTTATTTATTATTACTTTTGTCAATTTCAACTTATTTCGGTTGTTTTTTTCCTTCTTTAATGGGAGGCTATGAAGACATCTGAGGACGACTGCATGTAGCCAAACATCACAGATATGAATGGTGTGGACAAAATAACAGAAACACCTCATTGAATGTGTTTTTGTTTGTTTGTTTGTTTGTTTTTTGTTGTTTTTTTTTTTAGTTTATCTGGGTGCAACTAAAAAACTGGAAACTTGTGTCTAACCAACAAGTCATCCATCCTATACCCACATTATAAAACTGAACTGCAACTTGCCTGAAATGATAATCACTACTTGCACAATGCTTTAATGGGAATGAAGTTTTGTTGCAAGATTTGTTTCTTATAGTAGTTTTTGGGGTCGGTAGTTGTTGAATACGTTGGTAGGACGGAGTTCCGTCTGCTTCATATCACAAACCTTCATAACGTAGGCCGAAGGAGGAAGAGAGAAGCTGTAGCCGTTGATACTGAAGACAACATCTGGCAGCAGGTTTATAAAGCTGCAACTGATGGCAGCCTGTGAGGCAAATAAACAACATGTTAAGCCCACAACTGTAAACTGAACATCTTTAATGTTTTGCTCGCTGATAGGAAACCGACTCACTGTGCCGTACTCGTCTGAGGTGGCTCCCAACCAGCCGTTGATGTTGCTGACGTCGTCGCCCGAACCGATGATTACAGAAGTACCAGAGTCGACGACGGCCTCACAGCCCCCAGCACAGGCCACAGTGTTCCCATTGATGGTGATGCTGCAGCATGGAGAAAGTACCATTAACATGAATCCAAACAAGAACATGTGAGGAGGCTAGAAGTACCTTTGTATCTGGATGTTCCAGAAGCTGGTGGCCTGGTACAGAGGGATCCACTTGATGCTTCCAGTGTAATATGTTGGATCCGCTCCTCCCAGAACGAACACGCTGCCCTCGACAGAGCTGCAGCCACAAGAAAACAAGCCTCGTAAAAACACCCGTCTGAGGAGGCACCAGTTCTATTTGACAAGGTCTGACCTGCTCAGGTACATGGAGAACATGTTCTGGGGGATTTTTCCCTGGTTCCACATGTTAGTGAGTAAAGTCGGGCTTCCGTCAAGCGACGTGTTGGAAAAGGGAAGTCCGACCACCCCGTCCCAGGGCACGGAGCCCAGGGAGATGGCTTCTGTTTCAGTGAGGCCAAACATCTGGTGCTCCACGTAGACGTCACCTATCTGTCAGCAAAACCATGCATCAGGTTTAGATTCAAACTGAAAAGAGTCAAGAGGAACAATCCTGACCTTGATGGTGTCGTATCCGGTGCTCCCTGATGCAAACCCACTGTTGTATGAGATCTGGAAAGGCTCTGAGCCGGCCTGAAAGGTGGAGGATGCTGAGCTGTTGAATTTTAAGTGGCTGCCTGAAGACAGAAAGCGACGGAGTGATGTAGAGCAGAGCAGGAGACAAAACAGACGAGAGAGTTCGTTTCACTACGATTGACTTTAAACATAAAGACGTCTGCTGCCTAAGAGCAGCAACAATCCAACAATCAGCTGGTCGACCTCCTCATCGGTTTCTCAGTTGATCCTAACAGCTCTGGTCAAACAGTTGTCCTGACTTTAGGGAGGATTTCAGCAAACAGTTGAAAATCCTGGCGTCCCATTTTCCTGCTACTTACACAGGACCTATTCAATCATCCTGAACACGACCCGTTATCATCCTCACCGCAGGACGAGCCGGTGCATCTCACAGAAGGAACCCACAGGTCGGAGGAGCCGGTGTCGAAGAGAACTTTGAAGAACTGGGGAGGAGTCCCGACGCTGATCACTCCACAGTAGGTGATCTGCTCACAAAACATTTCTTCAGCTGGAGGCTCGTAGGGAGGACGTACACCTAGACATCAGCATCGAGGGATGGGAGCTTGTATGCACCGACTCACAAACCATCACTCAACCCTACACACTGTTCATATCTGAAGAGTTCATCTGCAGATAACTCCATCACCCTCCCCATTTTTTTATTTTTAACATTTTTTACTTATTTATTTTTTTATTTAGTTTTGTATGTCTTTTTTGCTTTTTACTTCTTTTAATGTTGTTTAATGTTGTTTTCCGTACGCTTCTCTTGGAACCTGTACAGCACTTTGTAACCTTGTTTTGAAAAGTGCTATATAAATAAAGTTTATTATTATTAATTTTATCTTCACAAACCTTCAGAAAACCCATTTTTCCTTCGTCTACCTGAGACAACATCAATCAAACTTCATTTATCTCGGTTTGAGTCAAATCCACTCAGCTTCAGTTTTATTGATTTTATATCAAGCAAACAACCAAAATATATGTTTTCTGAAAATCTACAAAAATGTAGTTATCTGTTCTTGCAAATGAACTCTTCACTTTATGCCTTCACAGTACGGTTCGAGTCAATTTTGATTCAGACCATACTGTGAAGAATTCCTGTCAAGAATTCCCTCATACTAAGTGTCTATATCATATTTTAAACTACAGATCTATTTAGAATGTCTAAATAGCTGATGTCTTGTTAGTAAATGTAAAAAAAGAAATAGACATAAAACATTCACAGTTCACAGATTCCCTAAAACCATCATTTCCCTTGATTTGAGCCACACTGGTCATGTTGTGATCTCAGTGGATACGAGTGAAATTTGACCCAAAACAAGTATAAAATAAAATATATATATATATATATTGTGGGCCACTTTAGTAAAAATCAGCAAATTTCAGGCTAAAAGAATGATGTTTAGGGTATTTTTTATTGCTGTTAAATGTCAAAACTTGTCAAATTGAACCCAAAATCATATATATGTGGACATACATGACCCAATAAAACACTAATAACTTCAGCAGCGCTGTACCTGATGCTTTTATTCAGTGTGGAGAAGAAGAAGGAGGTGTTCTCGGATAAAAACACTTCTGAGAAGCAGCCAGAGAGACTGTTCAGGATGTATATTTCCATACAAACACCTACTACATTTGAAGCTTTTGATGCTCCGTTTATAATATCCAGCGAAGTTCAACACTAGCAGGTGACAACAAACCTTTTAGAGATAACGTTCCTATTGGCCAGAAGAGTTACAGCTCTATTACTGCGGCCGAGCAAGAGAAGATGGATCATGGAATTATTTATAACTCTGCTCTTGGAATAAAATGACTATAAGGGGAAGCCATCTCTCTTTCACAGCGTCTGGGATCCTGACGTAACTCATCGAGACTTGGCACATGCTGTATAAATAACCCTCTTCTTCTAAAACGTTTTCCTACGTTCAGCACATGTACATGAATTTAAAATCTACCTCAGCTAAAGTGTCGCTTAATCCTCGACCAAATCATTTTCTTTTTTTTATTCTTCTTCTGTTTGTGTGTTAATTCTCTGGAGGTTGTGGTTTTGGGTGTTCAGCTGTGTTTATATTTTTAAAAAAAGCTTGTTTATGTCTTTAGTTGATGGAAGAAAAGCCTTCAGTGCTACTCACATCAGGATCAAATGTCATGGGCACGACGCTCTGCTCGTTCTTCAGGAGAAACTTTGCAGCTGGTTCAGACAGAAACCTCCTCCTGTGCTCCTCCAACAGGCCTTTCTCTTCCAGCAGCTGTCTGGCCGACCTTCGTCTTATCAAGGGAATCCTGCGCAGACCCAACGGCAACACACAAACTCTGCAGCAAACATCTGTGAACGTACTTAGATTTTTGGAGACTTCATAACTTGTCCTAATAAGGAGCTGCAGGCTGGGAGTGATTTTTGGGAAAATATAACGTGTTGTGAGCTTAAAAAGGTCAAAGAATGTTCGTGCTGAAGTTCTCATTAACGGATCGTGAGCAAGAGAAGAAAAAAGTCACAGAGCCCAGCTGGAGCCTGAGGATACAACTCTCATTACAGCAAACAATATGAAACGTCTATCAGCGTAAGCAGCAGCGTGACTCCAGTCCTGCAGAACGAACAGGAACGTCTCCAACAATTAATCACTCTGCAGTGTTTTCTAGTAGAACGTGCTGTAATCTTTGATTCAGAGCAGAGGAAACAATTCAGAGGTGGATTAAAAGTTAGATTAATGATCCGACAAAAAGCCCCTCTGTGAGTTAAACAGCTGCACTCAGGTTTATTTAGTCAAGAATAAATCATGGTATCACCTTTCTGAGACAGCACAGTTTAACCAAACCTTTTAACTTATTACATCCCGATTGCTCTTAAAATCAACTTTATAATCATTTTAATTTGAGTGCATCTTTCCAGACTTTTCACTTTCACCCTCAGACCTTTAACATCATACAGCTCCTGACATTAAGAGTCTCTGCTAAAGCCCTGCATGTTAAACTGCATATTTTTACCTGTGCAAATACGACTTTGTCGTGAATCTCACCTGAGGAGCCCGTGACAGACCGCCACACAGGCCAACACAATGCAGGCACACTTCATTATTCCAGAGTGACCCTGTGAAGGTCTAACATGTGGGCAGGAGAGCTGGTTTTATATAGAGGTCAGAGCCACACTTCCTTTTTCCTGCAGCTGATAAGAGACCACGTAGCTGAATAAGAGAAATCAGATAAAGGAAACAAAGAGAACCAAGTAGAGACGGATCACATATTAATGTCTCGACCCCTACAGCGAAGGGATCCGGTGGTTCTGTTATGGTCCAGAGTCTCTTACTTGCAATACGTACTCAGGTGCAATCTACCACAGGCATCTCTCAGGTACCTCCATTCCGTTATACCTGTTGTCACCTATTTATTTTTTACACATGTGGACAAAATCGTTGGTACCCCTCGGTTGATGAAAGAAAAACCCACAACGGTCACAGAAATAACTTGAATCTGACAAAAGTAATAATAAAAAAACATTCTATGAAAATTAACCAGTAAAAATCAGACGTTGCTTTTGTGTTCAACAGAATTATTTTAATAAATAAACTCATGAAACAGGCCTGGACTAAAATGATGGTACCCCCAGAAAAGACCGAAAATAATGTGACCATAGGGACATGTCCAATCAAGGTGTGTCCTCTAATTAACATCACAGGTGTCTACAGACTTGTAATCAGTCAGTCGGCCTGTTTATAGGCTTACAGGTAGTCACTGGTGACATGGTGTGGGCCACACTAAACATGGACCAGAGGAAGCAAAGGAGAGAGTTGTCTCAGGAGATTAGAAAGAAAATGATACACAAGCATATTACAGGTAAAGGCTATCAGACCATCTCCAAGCAGCTGATGTTCCTGTGACTACAGCTGCACAGATTATTCAGACATTTAAGATCCATGGGACTGTAGCCGACCTCCCTGGACGTGGCCGCAGCAGGAACACTGATGACAAATGGAAGAGACGATAATACAAACACTATAACCTCCACACGTCACCATGGTGTGAACCTCACGTTCTTTAATGCTGTAACCAACATTTTTGTTCAAATACATATGAAGAGGTGAGACACACCTTTTGTCATGTTTAACAGTCACACAAGACTGGTACAAATGCTACATATATATATATGAATGATTTTAAGTGAAATCAATCTTATAATTCTGATTTAATTCAGATTTTTAATTTGGTGTGGTCACACTTTAAACCTGTCTCAGCAGGTTTACAATCTCAGTTTGGTCTAGACCAAATCAAAATTTCAATCTTGCCTCAGCAGATTTAAAATCCGCCTGGATTTTAACTCAGACTGTGACGTATACATCTCTAGTCTCTACAAATGTCTTAGTTTTTATCTTGCACAGTTTGTTTGTTAATGTATAATTTGTAGTTTGCACCCAGTTCCGTTGTTCTTTGTTTTTTGGTATAATGACATTAAAGGATTCTGATTCTGATTACAGAGTCACTGCTGTTGTTCTGAATGATCACATGAATCCTATCATGAAACAGTTCTGTCCTGATGGGAGCGTTCTCCTCCAGGATGACGGTGCCTCCATCCAAAGAGCACAAAGGGTCTGGAAATGGTTCCATGAGTACGACAGTGATGTGAGTCGTGCTGTGGCCTTCACAGTCACCACATCTCAAACATCTGTGGTTAATGTTTCACCAAAACACCAGATCAGAGAATATCTTTAGGAAGAAAGATTTTGATCCTTTAAGTAGCGTTTAGAGACAATCATGATGTTTTGACAGCAAGCAGTTTTTCCTTTAATTTGTCATCTTGTGTTTGTTCCAATATCTTTAATCTGATTTAATCATTTTCANCAGAAATAACTTGAATCTGAAAAAAAAGTAATAAGAAATAAAAATTCTATGAAAATTAACCAGTAAAAATCAGGCATTGCTTTTGTGGTTCAACAGAATTATTTTAAAAAATAAACTCATGAAACAGGCCTGGACTAAAATGATGGTACCCCCAGAAAAGACCGAAAATAATGTGACCATCGGGACATGTTCAATCAAGGTGTGTCCTCTAATTAGCATCACAGGTGTCTACAAACCTGTAATCAGCCAGTCAGGCCTATTTATAGGGTTACAGGTGCTGTTTGCTGACATGGTGTGGACCACACTAAACATGGTCCAGAGGAAGTGAAGGAGAGAGCTGTCTCAGGAGATTAGAAAGAAAATTATAGACAAGCATGTTAAAGGTAAAGGCTGTCAGACCATCTCCAAGCAGCTGATGTTCCTGTGACTACAGCTGCACACATTATTCAGACATGTCAGATCCATGGGACTGTAGCCGACCTCCCTGGACGTGACCGCAGCAGGAACATTGATGACAAATGGAAGAGACGATAATACGAATACAATAACCTCCACACGTCACCATGGTGTGAACCTCACGTTCTTTAATGCTGTAAGCAACATTTTTGTTCAAATACATATGAAGAGGTGAGATACACCTTTTGTCATGTTTAACAGTCACACAAGACTGGTACAAATACTACACACACACACACACACATACATATATATATGTATATGCATGAATTAATGATTTACGGTGAAATCAATCTTATAATTCTGATTTAATTCAGATTTTTAATTTGGTGTGGTCACATTTTAAACCTGTCTCAGCAGGTTTACAATCTCAATTTGGTCTAGACTAAATCAAAATTTCAATCTTGCCTCGGCAGATTTAAAATCTGCCTGGATTTTAACTCAGACTGTGACGTATACATCTCTAGGTTCTACAAACGTCTTAGTTTCTATCTTGCACAGTTTGTTAATGTATAATTTGTAGTTTGCACCCAGTTCCGTTGTTCTTTTTTTTGGTATAATGACATTAAAGGATTCTGATTCTGATTATAGAGTCACTGCTGTTGTTCTGAATGATCACATGAATCCTATCATGAAACTGTTCTGTCCTGATGGGAGCGTTCTCCTCCAGGATGACGGCGCCTCCATCCAAAGAGCACAAAGGGTCTGGAAATGGTTCCATGAGTACGACAGTGATGTGAGTCGTGCTGTGGCCTTCACAGTCACCACATCTCAAACATCTGTGGGTAATTTTTCACCAAAACACCAGATGAGAGAACATCTTTAGGAACAGAAAGATTTTGATCCTTTCAGTGGCGTTTAGAAACAATCATGATGTTTTGACAGCAAGCAGTTTTTCCTTTAATTTGTCATCTTGTGTTTGTTCCAATATCTTTAATCTGATTTAATCATTTTCAGTCATAAGAATGTAGTGTAGCTTCACTGAGTTACAGATTTAATGCAAACTCAGGTCAGAAATCAGTAATAACTATAGTGTGTTAATAGTTTGCTGCATGTAATATCCATCCATCATCTCTACACCTTAATCCTCATTAGGGTCACGGGGGGCTGGAGTCTATCCCAGCTGACTCAGGGTGAAGGCAGGTTCACCTGGACAGGTAACCAGTCTATCACAGGGCTACACTTAGAGACAGACAACCAAGCACACTCACATTCACACCTACGGACAATTTACAATCACCAATTAACCTCAGCATGTTTCTGGACTGTGGGAGGAAGCCGGAGAACCCGGAGAGAACCCACGCTGCACGGGGAGAACATGGAGACTCCACGCAGGAAGATCCCGGGTGTCCTCACCGGGATGCGAACCGGCGACCTTCAAGCTGCGAGGCGACGGTGCTAACCACCGAGCCATTGCATATAAGATGTTTCACATTATTTTCTATTCAAATTCTGTTTTAATTCATCCAATTAGAATAAATAATAAAAATGTCTCAACACAAACATCTGCATCATAGTTTGATACATACATATACATGTATATATATTTATACTGTAACTAAAGAATCTTACAGATCAAAGTGACATTGAACACTAACAGTCATTGATGTAAACAAACCTTCTCCAGCTTCATTAGTCTGTTTGACTTAATGTTCGTCTGCAGGTTAAAAGCTGAATAATTAATCCAAGAGCTTGTGTGTGCAGCTTCCATATCAGGCTTTGAGTTCTGCAGCATCAAGTGTACTTCAGCAGACGATGAGGATTTGAAAAGCGCTCCTTCATTTGATGGACTCAACGACATCTCAAGTTTCTTCTCCAGTCACGAGTGTTTTATGGGAGCTAAAAGCCAAGTAGGGTCTGACCTTTCCACGGCGATGTGCTGAGTTTCTGTTTACTTTTCTCATGGATGTTGTGTACTTAGAGGAAGAAATGGAAAGATTTAGGTTCCCTCTAGGCTGAAACACAGACTACCGACGTCTTCTAACAAACTCACGTGTAGTTCTCTCTGCAGGACGAAACAAATCTTGGCTTTAAATCTAAAATCAGACTAAATGTGCTTTTTGTACGTCACACAGACGTGTTGGAAGTAAAAGATAAGGATCTGATGATATTGACGTTTGTGTGAGAGTCTGATAATTCACTCCTCACGTGTACAAACACAACCAGCTGGAAAAGCTTATCACGGTTCCTCTGAAACACGGCGATACTGCACCGCCTCCCGTCTTCTGTTTGCTCCACCCAACTCTGCCCTCTGGAAGAACCAATTCAATTCAATGTAACTGAATATTTCTCCCATTAGAGACTGGATCGTTTTAATTTTTAAAAAAGACGCAGCGTCAGCGTGTGAGCTTCAAAATCAGCTGCCTTTATTTAAGCACAAACCAAATGCAGTTCACATTAAATATGACAATAAAAAGAGACTACATGTATAAATATGAACTTTAACCGTAAGTCGTACTCACCGAGGTAGTTTCCCACCGTCGTATGATGACCTCCTTGAATGAGCAACAGTTTTTCACGCGTATTCAGAACTTTAACTGCAGCTCATTCAGTCACGCTGCAGCTAAACTCGAGTGTTTTCACAGCTTTCCCTTTCTTCCTCGCCTCCACGTCGACCTGAAACACTCGACATTTTAATTACAAACAGCTTCGAAGCGCGAAGATCTGCTGAAAGAGAGGTCAGAGAGAGAGAAAAAAAAGACATTCTGGAGTTTGTTTGGACTCGAATGTGAAACGAGAAGCTGAAGTACGGCCGGTGAGCTGAGTGCTGATTGCTCAGTTCAA